GAGTGTTGGTGAAGGGAAACCCTTCAGGTATGGAGTGGACAGCAGCATGTATTAAAGTAGAGCATTGATGGTCAAGCTGAGCCTTGAAATAAAGTGGCTTTTGGTGGGGAGTTTCCTGCATTTTCTGCATGCAGCCCAGCAGCCCGCCCTACAGGTCAAGCCATGGAATACCTCCTGGGTTCTTTACTGGAAGATCTGGAAGGATTTAATGTTCATACTTGCTTTGGGTTTTGGTGGGGTTTTTTGCTATTAGTTTCTAGATTTTGGGAGCAGGTGAAGTCATACTTCCAACCTCAACCATTTTGTGATGTAAGGCACCTCTGGAAGTCATCTTGTCCAACCCCCTCTGCTCAAGCAGGGCCACCTAGGGCCAGTTGCCCAGGACCATGTCCAGACGGCTTTTGAATATCTCCAAGGATGGAGATATCTCCAAGGATGGAGACTCCACAACCTCTCTGGGCAGCCTGTGCCAATGCTCTGTCACCTTCACAGCAGAAAAGTGTTTCCTGATGTTCGGAGGGAGCCTCCTGTGTTTCAATTTGTGCCCATTGCCCCTGGTCCGGTCACTGGGCACCACTGAAAAAAGCCTGGCTCCATCCTCTTTGTACCCTTCCTTCAGGTATTTCTACACACTGATGAGATTCCCCCTGAGCCTTCTCTTCTCCAGGCTAAACTGTCCCGGCTCTCTTGGCCTTGTCTCATGTTTGCTCAACTCCTGTCCTTTGACCTTTGTGATACGGTGTGCATCCTGGCTCAAGCCAGGAGGCTGGTCCTGTAAAGGAGCGGCCTGTGCTGAGGGAGCTACACACCACTCCAGAAAGCTGTATCCTATAGCTAAGCTTCGTAACAGGTCTTTGTTGGCGTACAGGCTGGTTGGACTCAAAGTACAGTAGAGATGACTAATGGTGAACTGAACTGGAGCAGTGATGCAGCTGCCTAAGCTGAGACCACTAGAGAGCCCCCGCTGGCCTGCCCCGATAGAGAAGCATTTGGGATCAGCAAAGAGTGATTTTTTTTTTTTTAACTACATTGTTGTTTTTTTCAAGTCCCAGTGCTCCGATTCACCGCTTTTGAAAGCTCTCTGGTTCTGCCCTTGCAGTACCCGACACCTAAGGGAACTCCTGCTCCCCAGTGACAAAAACATCAAAGCTGAACTGGGAGCCTGATGTCCTCCTGACCCAGGCCCACTCTCTCCCCCCCCTGCCCTGGAATTTTATGCCTCTTACTGGCCCAAGGCTTTACTCCAGCATGTTTACAGCAGTTCTGGGATAATGGCACATTCTAGAAGGAAAACTGGTTACAAAGATAAACATTTCCTGGAGTGTGGGAAAGAGCTAGTGCAGGAAGCTCTGCTGGGCTACAGCAGCCTTCGCGTTGCATGGACTGCAATAGGTTTTACTTCTGTTTAAAGGCGGAAGGGCATCAGCCACCACAAAGATGGCGAGGTCCGATGATGTCACCTGTCTTCCAGCTGACTGCAGCGGCAAACACGGGCATCAGAAGGTACCGTTTGCAAAACGTGTTACATCTTCTGCCAAAGCAAGTGGTAACAGGCCAGGTCTTCTGGCAAACGGCAATAAACTCATTGTCTTGAACACGTGGTTCTGAAGTACTGTTACCCAGCAGCCAAAGAAATGTTTGAGATGCTGCTCCTGTTATTTCCAGCTCTACAAAGACAGTGCTGATGTTCTCTGGTTTATAGGGTGATGGAGCCTTTGTATTAAAGGAGATGAACTGGTGAGAAAAGTTGAAGTCTACTAGGTCCCTCTTCTACCCAGTGCAGGATCTGTATGTTATCCCCAGCTCTGGCAACAGCTACAGCTCCGAGTCCACTGTATTTCATATCACAAGAAGCGTGAATGTTGGCAGTGGGCAGAGGGAATGAATGGCAAAGCTTGCAAAATTTTAGCTACAGCTGTTGCAATCGTGCGTGAAGCTGAAAGAGGTCACCTTGAGATTTAAGAACAAACCCTCTCTTTGAATAAGAAAGAGGTGCTCCTGGCTATGGGCGTGGTGAGCAGATGTGTACAGAAGAGGGGCTTAGAAGGCACTGATAAGGAAATAATGATTTGGTTTTGTTTATTCAAATCTTTATCAGAACTCCCATAGTGAATGTCTCGCCAAATATTTGTTGCAAAATAACGTTAGGCTACTACCAAGGGTTCAAAGGATTTTCTGCTGGAGGCAGCGTACAAGCAGTAAATCAAACTTGAACATACATATTGAGTATTCTGAGAAGGCGGGAAATAATTAGGGGAGAGGAGATGGGAAGTGGTGGTGTACAAAATGTCTAGCACTTTTTGGACAGTCAGTGCCGAGCAACAAAGGCTGTCAGCGCCCTACAAATTGGCTTCTCTCTTCTTCCAGGGCGGTCCCTGTCTCCCCGCTAGCGTGCCCGCACAGCAGCAGCTCTGCTGTCAAAGCCTGAAAACAGAATTTTCTCTATGCTTGTTCAAGAAGCTCCAAACTCCCACTGTACAGACACAATCTCTCACGAGTTGCCAAGATTTAGTTTTATTTAGGATTAGAAATACTGAACCACAGAAAACTGTTAAAAGTAACAGAGGTTGACTCAGCCCTGTAACAGGAGGGTACACAGATGGCAATCGAGTGTGAAACTGTCAGACATCAGGAGGTATTGCTGCACCCAGGGAAAACAAGGGCACGTGCTGCTCGGAATTGCATGCTGTGCTTTTTCAACAAAGCAGTTTAAGGCGGCAGTAAAATGGTTACAACTTATCAAACCCTTTATAAACAAACTTTGTTTTTTTTAACCATCCCTGATTTTGGTGCCAAGAGCAAGTTTTTGCTTTCAACCAATCTCATTTTACAGGTTCGTGTTGGGGTGGCAGTTCCCCCCCAAGCAAACCTTTTAAACTTGTAATAAACTTTTCTTGAATTTAATCCTATAAGTTTTTCTCATTATTTCACATTCCCCTGTACAATAAAATATACTTTTTAAAAATCACTATGCATCAATAAACATCTGTAGACAAATTACATTAATAAACTTATATTTTTCTCTCTATATATACATGTTGGCAATGTCAAAGCTTCAAGATTCACATGGAGGTCTGCAAGACCAAGGAAATGTACACAAATAACTTACATTTAGGAAAAAAACCAAAAGCTGAAGAGTATTTTTCCACATTATTGTGGGTCACAGTATTTAAAATATTTTTCTAGTTATTCTTCACAACCACATTGTCTCAGCAGAGAATGATGAATCAAACTGAAGCGGAAAGAAAAATCAAGTAGCAGTTACTGATTTCAGTGCAGAACTAAGTCAAGTAAAGAACTACACTTGATTCTTAAAGAATATACAATATATCGGAGACTTCTCCAGTGCTAAGGCTTCTTCAGCATTTAATCTTTAGAACTATCATCCTGAGACGGGAAGATTCCAGTGGATATCACTTTTCAGATTTCAAATGGAATGATTCTAGTGCTGAGCTAAACCATTCCTCAGTCTATATGTGAGACTGAGTGGTAAAATATACATACATCTTGATGCCGTATTTCTGCTTAATACTTTTTATGGTCCTGAAAATGGAAACATTGGCATCAAACCCAAAATATTCCAACATAATAAAAAGGCACTGAGCTATAGTACTCTATATACAGTAACATTTCTGTTTGCATAGATCAACAACTTTGAACGCTGCAAGGAACTAAACGCAACCAGTAACTAAGGGGAAATACAGAAGCAGCAGGAACTCTTGCTTAATAACCAGCGTGGGGCAAGGGATCTTTTACCAAAAAAAATGTTCAAGCTGTCAGCTTCAGTCGTCCTTCATAAATTAAAAAAGTTTTCTTAGAGGAGTGTTTTCTGATCGAAGAGCTGCAGGTCAAAACGGACCCAGACTTCGCCTGTTGGAACTTCATGCAGCAGTAAGTGTTTAGTCGTGGGGCCTTTGCTTTCTTGTTCTGTTCTGATTTTTGCTACTGGAACTTCAGTGCGACCCAAAAAATCTGTTGGGCAAATGAGTAAGAAATTTCATTAAGCAAAGACGTTAAGCTTAGAAAATCTGAAAGCGTCAGGTTAAGCAGCAATGCTGCATAGTCTGTATTCAGTTCCAGAGCACTACTCCCAAGCCTCCTGTTTGACTAGCCCTCAGCCCCGTGTAAATCAGCCAGCAGTGACAAAAAACGGTCTTTTCAGAAGACAAAAATGCTATGGAACTAGGACGGAAAACATGCCTTTATGTCACCGTTTGATCTAAGGGCTTTGAAAATACAGTTCCTTTTCAGAAACACAATTTCAAATGTTCTCCGGCCTTAGAGCTGCAAGGTCAGAGTTAAGTGATGTTTACAAGTCAGCTGCGGTGCTATGAAGACAATAAAAAGAAAATTCCACCTATTTTGGCTCAGCCAACTTTTAATTAGGCTTATGTATCATTCTTCTCACGAGAACAATGACCTTGAACAACTACTGCCACTCATAGGTTTACAGTCCTATTCAGAAATTATATACCCTCTTTGTGGCCATTTCATACACAAACATCTTTGTGTGTGTGCATTAAAAAGTTTACCATGAACTGAAAAAACAACAGACTCTGCTGTCCAACAGGGAGAAGGAGCCTTGCAAAGTCACGTTACCTCACAGGAGAGAAGACTGAGTTGTAGTTACACGTAGGGCAACTCAGGTCAAGGCAGTACCTTGCAAACCTGAAATAATCAACTGTGTGTCAGAGCCCTGAAAAAGCACTTAACCTTTTAAAGAGTACTAGAAGCTACCGACTGCCAAAAACGTGTTTGGCTTCCAAGCAAAAGAAGAAAGCTTATCAAGCTGTTGCTGTGCAAGTATAACCTAGCACCTTATTTTTGGGCACCACCTATAGCGAGAGAGAAAAACTGCTTTCAACTTCTCTTGTCTCCCCAGTCTGACAAAATAATAATTCTGTGTCTGATAGAAAAGCCAGAGTAGGATCAAATCTGACTGCCCAGAGCTGTTGGCTCTGGAGGGCTATTGAACCTCAACCTCTTGAGCAAGGAGGCCTCGTTTTTACACAACCTTTCTCAGGAAGCAATCATACCTACAGGCTCTTGGAACTGCTGGTGAGGGACTGTGTACCCCAAGTCACAAAAAAGCATTCTTTTCCTAAAACAAATGTTCACACTTACCATCGGGTGAAAATTGATCTCTGTCAAACATGGTGATACACAGGACATCCTGATGCAGATCCTTAACGAAAAACTGGCAGTTGAAGTTCCACTTGGGGTTCAAGGTGTCCTGCAGGGTCCTCGTAGTGTAGCTCTGAGAGCCCATGCTGATTTCACAATAGGGGTTGCTCTTCCCTAAACACAGAACAAGCAGTGAAACACCTCTGCAGCGCAGAGACCTCCCTCCCCATCTGGAGGCTGCTTGGACACACATCAATGCTGCTGTCCAGAAGATGTGGGTCAGGCAATCCCTATATTCTAGAGCAGCACAGAGCTGGTTCTTCGCTCGGTCCCCTGAAACAAAATAATGGCTAATTCGTTCAGAAGCTGTAGCTGAATCCACAGTGTTTCTCAAATCGCCAAACTCCTCTCAGCAAGCCTCTCCAAACGTTGCAGGAATAAAAGGGATTTGACACTGTATCCTCCACTTACCATTGGGCTTACAGGCCTTGAGCTCTGTTGCTTCAATCACGTGCACCATCAAGCGTCCTATTCCTGAGGTCTTCTGTGAGCGAGCTGGGAACAAAGAAGTCAGAAATAAATGGATTGGTTGCAACCGTAAAAATTGGCAATAGATCTGAAGAGGGGGATCCTACACAGACTCTGTGGCATCACCCAGAAAAGGCCCTGCCCACGTGTCCGTGTGGATGAGAGGAAAACACCGAACCCGGTAGGTACCTTGATAAGCCTTTTCACGTTTCTTCTTCTCAGTTTCGATGTACTGCTCTGATGCTGCTTTGATTTTCTGGACCCAGGCAGTGCTGCAACGAGCAATCCCTATGGTCAGGGTCATACCACAGGCAGGAAATTCCTCAGTATCGGTGACTCTGCCCCGATCTCTTTTGCCATTATTTCCCCCCCACTGTGTTTCAGAGGCATCACAAATCAAGTTAGTTCAAGGACTAAAGTGATGGTGTTTTCAGATTTAACCTCATGCCACATTTCCACATCAGCCTAAATAAATGGACGTGAAGCTGCTGTTTTATTAAAGACTGCGCGGTCATATTAAAGACTGACCAGGACTGGGGAAGAACCTATGGGACGCTGGACTTTGCAGCCCTAAACTATTCTTCTATACAACTGTAACATCGAGGAGCAGTAGATGTGACTGGATTCCACTGCAAGAGCTGCCGCACAAGCACAACAAAATCAGAGAAAACTTGTAATTCAAATGAGAGTCAAACGAGTTTATTTCCTGACCAAGAAACTAAACCCTGTTCTTGAACTGAGACACCCCCATTTCTGCTCACTGGAAACAGCCTACAGCCATGATCAACAAGTTTAAGCTCAGATCTGCATTTTCACTACTCACCGCTCATTAATGTTGTCAGTTTTAAGCGTGTAAACTCTGTCAATGTGTGATATGTGGAAAACTGGCTCATCACTTGAAGGATCTGTGGGCAATTTCACTAGGACTTCATTAAGGAAAACAGGCTGAAAGAAAAGCAAACATCACTGTGGCAGCATCACCCTGACAATAAACAGAAACTCTACAAGGCTGTTTAAATACATTGTTTTATCGTAGGGAAAATGAAAGTCGTAGGACACAGGACGAACAATCAAATCACCGTATAAAGGATGTGAGAAAGGACTGAGAGAAAAACTACTCTGGTGATACACCCCGTTCCGTCTTCCTAGGTGAAGAGCTTTGTGAAAGGGGCAGGACCGCGTAAGCAGAGCTGCAGTGTGGAGCTTGGAAATCCTGGAGATCTCCCAGGTTCCCTGTCGGAAAGCAGCCCCGATGCTTAAAGTTATCTCCCCAGCTCTAAAATCTTGAGAACACGCGCTCTGTGGACACAGAGACTAAAGTTTTGCACCCTTTACTGTTTTCTAAAGACGGACAAGTTTTTTCTGGTGATGCAGGAACTTGTGCAAACGTAAGTCAAGGCTCCTGCTTCTGAACATCCCTCTCCGCTGCTCAGGCACGATGCTGTTTCTGCCCTTTCACCTCAACGTGGACAGCAGTGTTTATTAAACCACGACACAGAAGCCTGTCCTTTTCCGGGGACTAAGCCAAACGGCATTTGTGCGTGTTGGCTGCCAGTACACGCCCATATGACAGCAAATGATCAGTCGGGGCCAGACAGCTAATCCCAGCAGGGAGAACAGCATTCCTCATCAGAAGCCAGGTCCCACTGTATCAACATGACCACGGGGCACCTGGATTCACTCACCATTTTGTACATTTTGAACTGGGAGTTGCATTTGGGGCTGAACAGTTTATCGGAGCCAGAAGAGACGAACTGTTTAACCATGTAGGTGAGCAGGAGGAAGTCATTGAAAAGGAAGCCATACAGCTCCTTACTGCTCTTGGCCTTGTACAGCTTGCCACTGTGCAGGAGTTTCCGTGGTCCCAAGCAGTTTGTGAAGGAGTTGAACACCGGTTGCTGGGAGGAGAGACAAAACCCATTAGCAGCAGCAGCAAGTTAACGCAGGCATCAGTTCCTGCTCCTCTTCACAGTAGAGATCGCTCAAGCTGCTCAAAATCCTCTTCAGTTTTGTTTCAGAATTCTAAACTAAATTCATTAGAATTCAGTTACAAACGAAGAGAAGGGAAACTTTTATGATCTGCCATGGTATCAGCACTACTCCCAACTTAAAGCAGATTTAAGCCTTACCAACAACGTACACACGGGTCTGACTGGATGGAGGCATTTATCTCATGGTCACTTTTCTGTTGTCCAGAAGCTGTGTTTAAGAAGAGCCTGCAGAGTCTGCAGTCAGGTCACCTCTTACGGGTGCACGATTAGGTGATGGAACTAGGACAGACCTTCTGGACCTGTCAAGCCCTGGTTCCTTACGCAGCCAGTGGAGAACTGTCACAACACCTCATTTTGAAGGCTGTCCTGAAAGGCACAGGGGCCTGGACCCCACGTACCTTTGAGGATCTGGCATTGAGGGCTTCTGTGCCCTTTCTGCGTGAAGGAAAACCCTGGGAAATGCACACTAAGTGAAATTCCACAAAGTAACACCTGACTTAGCCCAAAGGCAGCACGACCAGAACTTCAGAGATAAGACTTATTTCTGTTCGTTTAACCGTTTAAATGGTACCAGTTTTAAGCTGATTAACAGAGATTTCTCCACTGCCAAAATCATGCAAAACCAACGAGGGCTCATCACGTTACGGCTGCAAGCAGAATTTAATAAAAGCATCTCTGCCAAGAGCTCAGCAGTGGATGACGGTCCAATAACGGATGTGAGCAAGGACCCCCACTCCCCCCTTGGCCTTTCTGAAATGACTCGGAAAAGTCTCCGCCGTACAGCGTATCAACGCAGCTACCTCAGCAAGACCTTCGCACTGGACGTGGGACTGTATCCATTCCAGCCTGTCCGAGTTCTCTTTCTCACGCACCCCTTCGTTAACTTGAGAGCACAGCTCCTCCGCGCGCTCCAACGCAAGCTTGAGGTTACTGTGATCGGGGTGATTTTCTGGAGTGTTCTCTAGAATCTGGTATGGATCAAAAAGGGGAGAAAACAAGATCAAAACAGAGGTAAGCACAGGTACTACTTCCCCGCGCTCTCAGAGAAATCCCTATAAAGGGACAAGGCTTTTTTTTGCTTTTGCTATCGAGACCAAACTCAAAAGCATTCACCTACAAAACCTCGTTTAGGGTACTCACACTCTTTATGAGCAGAGGGTAGCGGGTTATTCTTTGCATAGGTTTCAGGAGGAAACTGGAGAGGGGCATTCCTTTGCAGCGAGGGTCCAAGGCAAGTTTCTATGGTGCAACCCAGAGATTTAACAGAGACATTGCGTTACTCATCAAGAAACAGTTGCCTCACCGCACTGAAAACTGAAAACTGTCGGATCGGATTCATTTTTCCAGGCCTTCCAAGAAATCTTAAGATTTTTCTGTAAGCAAACAATACTTCTATCTAGAACAAACAGGAAAGGCGGCGTTGTCATTGTACTCAGACGTTTTGCCAGCATAAGCCGTAGGATCATTGTTCATGCAGAATGCTTACATTCAAAACCGTTCCAGCTTTTATTTTGAGATTACAGGCTCCACTCAGGTTGAAAAAAACCAAAGCAATGAAAGAAACAAATGCCTGATGTCAACAGTTCTGGCATTTCTCCTTTCATGGCCTCAAAGCCACCGCATCGGCTGCAGTATGGCAGCAATTCCTTATTTATTTCTGCAGCGTGCCTGCCTGTGATGCTCACAGCACACCTCTGGCCCCGGCTGCAACCCCACCATTCAGACACACTGCACGCCCCACTGAATTAAAAGCGTGTTCAGAACAACAGCTTTTTTATTTCAACTCCACAGACTCTTACCCCTTCTGACAGCATGAATTTTTGGGAAGGTGCAGACACCGGCACCATAGCTTCGTGGGGTTAGCGTTACACTGAAGTAACGAGCAACGGAATGGTAATGGAGTAATAAATTAGCTAGAGAGAAAGACAGGTATATAAATAAAAAGCACACACAGTGTTAACCGTGGTCATCATATAAATACACCTTAGAAGGTTCTTAGCTATTTTGCAAGATTTTACTGTCCTGGGTTATTTTGATCTGGTCGGGCTCCTGTCATCGAGGAAAGGAGAAGGCACAAAAGCTACTGAATAAGATACCTTTAAGTAGTCTTTGAAATCAGCATCTTCATCAGTTTTCTGCTGCAGCAACGAAGCTCCGTTAAGCTGGCAGCTGCAGAACCGAATGTAGGCCTGCATGTGAGAGAGCTCTGCTGCTAAGATGTCCCCAATCATCTGCACTGGCATTTTTTCTCCTCCTGTTTTCTTACGCACTCGCAAGGCTCTGAAGAGGAAAGAAATCACCATCCAACTTTGCTGCCAAGTCTGCGAGGCCTAAATCAAGACCCTGACAACGTCCACCTCTGAAAGGACGCAAGCCTGCCAGGTGAATTCCCTTACACAGCTCGGGCGCTTCCAGCCGGCGCAGGGCCCAGGCTGAGCCCCCAGGAAGTCACCGGCACAACACGCTGAGCTGAACGATCTGCCTGATGGGGTCTGCGGGACCGAGACTCTCCTTTGAGGTTTCCGGGACAATCGGCATCAATCTCTACATTCAACTAGCATCCCATTTCAATGAGTTATTAGCCACTTTGTCTCTCCAAAGTTTATTTTTAGAGAACAGAAGGCTGCTTTGCAGAAAACTGGGAAGAATGCCTTCCGTGCACATGCTTTTGTGTAGGCTCTATTTCTAAGGTATTATAGCAAACGTGCATCTGTTATTGCTGTTTACTCCCCTCTCTCTCTTAACAACTCCTTCTTTGTGAGGTAGTCTGAATGCATTTAGCCGTTCTGAATGCACGCACGCACAGGAAATCAGCAAGGACAGAAATATTTGCTGTAAACCCAGAAAACTTCCTGGGGAAAGGAACAAGAGAATAAAGATGAAGAGGAAAACATAAAAACGTGGGTAAGTACTCACTTCAGTAACTTTGTATTTGACATGATGAGTTCCTTCCAGTTAACAAAGATCAGCCCCATCTCTCCTTCCGTGAGACAGCCCGAGTCAGCCATCGGTTTTTGGAAAACCTGCAGTCAAAAAATCAGAAAGGTGAGCAACTCTTCAGAGACAAAAGCAGCTCAGCCTCTTCTTTAGCCTAGCAGTGATTTTGCTTTTTTTGAACGCTCAGTGTCCAATTTCTCAAAAGTTAAAAGCAGCTCCTTACTAGCACTTGTGACAGCTGTCGCTGTTCTTCCTAAGTGTGTGACCTCATTCTGACACCGGCATCACCGTTTGTGAAGCAGGGACAAGCACTGGGACCTGCAGGCTGACCGTTCAGCCGAAGAGCATGCCCATGATTTCGGAGTCAACTGCTACACAAATTACACTTACGCTTCACGCCTATCCCCATACCCAGAGCACTGGGAGTCTGCATGCACAACCTGCATGCAGAACTACAGCTTCTTTCAGGGACCCGCGGCGCAGTACCTCTGGATAGCAGAACACCTGTGTAACTCAGTCCATTTAACACCTTCAGCACTTCACCACATAGCTGTTTTATATAGAGAGGTCAAGTCAGACGCCCAAGGCCACCTAACGCTGGCCAGTTCCTGCCCTGCCTAGTGAGGTGGTCTTGCTTCCAGAAATAAAGTCGGAGACGAAGGCAGACAATAAACTTCTATGGTGCTTACACAGCTTTGCCAGACAACCCAGCCCAGCCCATCATCTTTACACTGAGCCCAAACACTTCAGAACAGGATTTGGAAAACAGTAAGGTCCTCATAAGACGATGGATTTCACCACGTGATATTTTTGCCTGCTGGACAACCACATAACATTCGCTAGAAAGGGAGGTGCTCACACAACCTCACTTTCTTCCTCTAGCGTTTCACAATTCGTAAGAATCCCTTTATTGCTATTATCAGTAGGACAGAGGTGGTGTTCTTCCAAATGCACTTTCACATCCAAGACATCTCACCTCTAAGACGAGCTGAAGATCGTCCATATACCTTTCTTCCGTCTGAATGAGTTCGTGAATGTAGCCCTGCCTTTTCCTTTCCATGGGTTGCATAGTGTCAAGGCTCTGGAGATCAGCACACCCTACGAGAAGTAAGCCAGTAGTTTAGATCCCACTGGGGCCATCAGATCTGATGAATTAACAAAATTGCATCAACATACACCAGCCTATGGTTCAGACTATATTGACAGTGGTAAAACCCTGTCCACAGCAGCAGCGGGTTTCACAATCGAGTGATGTAGTGATCGACCCCCTCCCCCCTTTATGTCATTTTTTTAGTCTGTCGCCTTTTTATTTCTTCAAACGTCCCTTGTTCTCGTGCGTTCTGTCACACAGAATAAGAATTCCCGGCTTCCTGCCACTCCATGTGTCTCATGGTTTTTCTCATCTCTTCTCCTTTTCTGCCATACTGTTTCGAAACTGTCATTTTCTCTTACCTTATGCAATGTCTTTTGTGAGATGAAGTCATCTAGAATGTGTCGGGGTCTGACTTATGACATTGCACCTTTAATCTCCACCCCATTTCCATAGCACTCTGCCTTGGTTATCAGTTTATGATACAAACCACCGGTACAAATTTGTAAAGTTATAATGCATAACGTTACAGTTGCGTAACTTCACAGTTGCACAACTTTTTTTCTCGTTTAGAAACAAAATGAGCCTGAAATATGTTGAATTATTTTTATGCATCAAGTATGAATAATCAAAATCATGCACGGGAACACACAGACGTCCAATGGCACAGACCCCAAGTTTTCTGTAAGAACATGCAGACCCTACAGCTTCACACTGTATACATGTTAGTAAGCATGACAACAATGTTTGCAATTGAGTAATCGAATCAAAAACTGGTAAAAACAAAGTGGTGAGTATGTTTAGATGGGTAAAGGAGAGCACAGAAAGTCAAACTCTGATCCCTCTGTTAGCCATCACATGCTAGCAGAGTACTGCGAAGCAGCAGGGTGGGGGAAAACAAAAGAAACAATTACAGAGCGTTTGAGAACATACATCTATCACTTGATGCGATGGCATCGGATTTTAATACAACGTGAACTGTGGATTTTGCAGGATAGCAGAAAGGACATCGCAGGGACTCGTTTAGATCCGGCATTTCTAGAGGAATGATACTTTTTGAAAGTTTACAGGTGGTGTGAAAGGCAGCGTGACCTGCAGTACGAAGGGCTGCGTCTCCCTTGTCACCCTAACACATCTAGGACACTAGAACGTGACTTTATTCTATTCACTGCCAATGTATAGATCTATTTATGGGAAATTTCTCTGCTCTAAATAATGAAATGAAAATGAGTCAGTGATAAATTGGGGGTGGTGTGGGGGGGAGGGAAACAAGAAACACGAAAGATTTGGCTAAACTTGATGTGACGGTGGCCTAATGGGAACCGCCCAGGCTTGCGCGCTTCCTGCTGGAGAGGCATCAAGCTGCTTTGAAGGAGCCGCAACCTTCAGCAAGAGAGAAACACTTGTCAAATGAAGTTTTATGATACCATTCGAAGTATTTTAACAGGGAAAGCCTTTGAGCAACGCAAAGAAGTAAAACAGTAAAGGCGATAGCTAGATTTAAAATCAGGACTTTTCAGTTCTGTTTTGTACCCCTAAGGAGGATCACAGATCTTAAGCTTTCTGACAAGATTTGAAAAAATGCCACTTTTTATGAAAAGACCTGGGATTGCAGCTCTTTTGATCGTGCAGAATGCTGCTTCTGGCCTTAGTTATTCCCAAAGTTACGATCAGGCCAAAATTAGATGAGGAAAAGGAGTGCAGCTACAGATCAAAATGATTCCTATGAAGTTTGCTATCTCAATCCATCAAGATGGACTGTGGCCAGTGTGTGCTACTTCTGGATTCTAGCGTCATTCTTTAGTCTGCACAGGACTGAGTTTAAGCCTACCTGGTTCCTAAGACATGAAATTTTAGAATAATCAAGGGCTCGCACAGTAACCAGACTTTATTTGTCCAGATTTGAAGTCTCAGCGTTGACCATGTGGTTCTCTTTTCTACTGCAAGGTGCGCTCCGGCAACAAAAGCAGGGACGGACTGAGGGTCCTGTTGCTGTTTGCTTGTATCACAGCTGTTAGAACAACCCACACGCTCGGATCTGTGGCTGTCTCATGCTGTCTACTTAACGTTGAAGCAAACACTGGAAGGAAAACGGGCCTTTTTTTATGCACCTAAAATAGATTTGGTTTATAAGCTCATTATCAGATACAAAAATGCAGTTAAATTAACTGGCTCCTGCACTAACCCGTATTTGGACTGTCAGATGAGTGCGAGTTTACATTTAAATAAGCACCAGTGAAAACACCCCAAATTTTGATAGGTCTGATGATACTGGCATAAAAACATAGTACGCAATCCACACATCTGATTTTAGAGGGTGAATTCAGGCATTTGGATCTGAAGGGAAAAAAGGCGAACGAGACGGAGAATAAAACAACTACCCTAGTGCATTTGCCAATGTTTTTCCAAAGTGGCCATAGCAACCCAGGGGCTCACTGGTACGGAAAGGGTGGACCTGCATC